ATAAAAATTTAAAAAATTAAAATTCAACTATCCTTAAAAATTTTTTTTTTCAGTATTGGGGATTGAACATTGAGTTACATCTTCAGCCCTTTTTATTTTTTATTTACTCATTTACTTATTTATTTTGTTTTGTTTTTTGAGACAGTGTCTGGCTATGCAGTGCAGGCTGGCCTCAGCCTCCTGAGTGCTGGGATTACAGGTATGGGCCATATGCCTGGCTTCTTATTTTTTATTTTGAGACAAGGTCTCACTGAGTTGCTAAATTATCTGGAGTAGGAAGGAACTTGTGATCCATCTTCCCGGCTTCACAGAGGACTGAGATTAGAGGCCAGAGTTACTAGGACTGGGTTTGAAATTTAAATTGTATTAAATCTTTGACGTAGCACAAATAATAACATAAGAGAAAACATGACTTTCCAAAGGTGATGATGATGATGATGACAATGATGACAATGATGATTTTGAGACAAGGTCTCACTATATAGTACAGGCTGACCCTAAATTCACTTTGTAGCCCAGGCTGACCTCGAACTCACAGTGATCCTCTGCCTCAGTCTCCCAAATACTGCAATAACACACCTCCCCTTGCAAAGATTATTCTTTTAGAGTTTGTAATACAAAATTTCCAGATGACACAAATTCTCACCCAGAATAAATATTATATTATACAGTGCAATGTACATTGCTGTCACTTTCTTATTTTGTCTTTTTTTACATTGCTGACTAAATGAATTAATTATTTTACTTGTTAAGATTATTTTTTTGTATTGGCCCATACTTGTAATCCCAGCACCAGGTATTGAATCTAGCACCTTTGCACTGAGCTTCATCTTCACCACTCCCTCACCCTCTTCTTAAAATTTTGAACTGGGTGTTACTGAGTCACTATGCTGCCCAAGCTGAGTTTAAACTTGGGATCTTCCTGCCTCAGTCTCACAGACAGTTGCAAAAACACACATGGACCCCCATGCCTGCCTGGATTGGTTTATATTCATAAGAAGGCATTTATTTTAAATTAAATAAGTAAATATCACTTAGAAAAATGAAGGTTATTAAAAATGGCATTTATAGTGTGTTTTTTAATAAAAATATTTTACCCATCAGAAGAATGTTTAGATATTTGTACCTAACTGTTAACAGTGGTATGTATCTTTCTCTGAGATGTAAGAACGCTAGCAATATTTTCCTTTTTTGATGTTTTTGTACTTTTTTATATTAAGTATATTTTTATAATAAAAATCAAAATGAGCTTAATTTCCACTTTGAAAATTCAATTCTGATTGAAAAATAGATTATTATATCACAGGCATGTTCTAAGGCTTTCTTACTTTTTTTTCATTTTTTTTTTCCCCTGCAGAAGATTAAACCCAGGGCCTTCACACTGGTCCACATCCTTATTAAAAAATCTTTATTTTTAATTTTGAGGCAGAGTCTTATTAGGTCGCTAAATGCCGAGGCTGAATTTGAACTTGTAAATCCACCTGGTTCAGCCACCCAGAGTGCCAGAATTAAGTCTGTATCAAGAGTTCTGGCTCAGAGCTTTCTTACTCTTGGCAAGATTAGGAACAGTCAGGTATATCTGAAGATGAGTTTAGGTAATACTGCTGCACCTTAAAAAAAAAAAAAAAAATATATATATATATATATATATATATATATATATATATGTATATATGTATGTACACACACACACACACACACACACACATATATTCATTTATTTCTTTGTTATCGGTATCACAGTTTGAATTTCAAATATCTCCAGAAAGCTTTCGAAGGCTGTTGGATGGGGGTGCTCGGAGACTGACCCAATGGTGAGCTGGAGCTGACTGCACCGTGGGGAAGAAGCCCAGACACCCCAGGGCCCGCCTGCCCCCGGACCCAGCTCTTCCTCCCCTCTCAGCTTCCTGGCTGCCGCCCCATTTCCCTCCCTAGGCCTTTCTGCTCCAAGCCAGCTGAACTCTGAAACGTGAGCCATCCTCTGAGACCTGGATGTCAGTTTTGTTCCAGTGACAGGCAACTAATGCAACTGAGGATTTAACCAGGGAGCACTGAGTTTACTGCTCCCCAACCACTTAATTTTGTATATTTTGAGGCAAGGTGCCACCAGTCGCCCAGGCAGGGCTTACATTTGCAGTCCTCTCGTCTCAGCCTCCTGAGCGACCGGGCTTGCAGGTGTGCACCGCCACACCCCGCTTCCTTTCCGAATTTTAAACCGAGGAAATGCACAAGAAGCGTGGTGCGAGCCTGGAGGAGAACGCGGCGCCCTGGACGGTGCCTCTGCTCTTTATTGTGTTCATTAGCACCGCAGCACCCTCTTCCAGAGAGCAGGAGGGGAAGCTGAGGCAAGCCGGGCGCAGGGAGCAAAGGTTCAGTTAATGCTCTGCTCCTCGGCTGCTTTCATGAAAGATTTGTTTGTTGAAGGAGCTGAACCTATTAGCTTAAACAGGGATTAACTCTGCCCGACGCTCTGCCAGGGCATGGACAATTAAGAGTTTATTGGGAATTAATTGAAAATAATGCGGTTTGTGAGATGGGAGGAAGTTGATTTAAAGGAAATGGGCTTTGAATCAGCCAAGGATAAACAAATGCCGACTACCACTAAACTGATAAAAGGATTCCAAGTATAAGAATGGAAAATTGGAAAGAACGAGTGAATTTTACACAAAGAACAAAAACATAAAAACTCGAAGTACAGAGGAGCAGTAAGTGAATGGGGGGTCAGAACGCGGTTTAAGAAGGTCTTAATCCATTTGGGCTGCTAGAACAAAATGCTGTAAATTGAGTAGTTTGCAAACAATGCAAAATTCATTTCTCACAGCTGTGGACGCTGGAAGTCCAACACCAAAGTGAGTTTAGTGTCTGGTGACGGCTCCCTTCCAGTTCACAGATGGCACTTTTTTCCTGTTTTGTCCTCACACGTGAAGGGGCCACTCAGATCTCTGCATTTCTTTTACTTTTTTATTTATTCATTTTAGTTTTTGAGACTGAGTCTCACTACGTAGTTCAGGATGGACTTGAACTCGACTCACTGTGAAGCCTAGACCAGCCTCACATTCTCAGATTCCCTGCCTCAGACTTCCAAGTGCTGAGATTAAGTGTGTGTCACCGTGCCCAGCTTTTTTCTTTTTTAAATGGAGATACTAATCCCAGTCATTACATCATTAGTGTTCCCTTAGTAATTTTGATATTATTTCTAGTAATATCTAACAACAAACCCTCTACCTTGTTTTGGGCTTTATTGTCTGATAAATAGTATCCAACTTGATATGCATGTTTATATCAAATGCCTAACACTTAAATTCACTGGACGTTACAGACATATTTCTCAAAACCCTCTAATTTTAAATTGTGGCACACAAAGTTATGGACCTTTAACCCTGAGGTCAAGAAGTATACAAGAGCCATACTACTGGGAAAAGATAATTGAATTTGCAAAATTTGTCTCCCCAAATTCTGTTACAGTTCAATATATGGAGGAAGGTTAAAGAACATCATGTAATTATTATTTCATATTATCACACACTTGGGCAGATAGAACTGATTTCCACAGCAGTCAGACAGCACCCGGAGCCAATCAGTTGCTTTGTATCGAGAGAATTAAGGCATAGAGAGATTTAACTGAATGTCTGTTTAAATTTAACTTTTCTGCTGGGAATGTGGTGCACACCTGTAATCCCAGCACTCAGGAGGCTGAGGCTGAGAATTGCTGTGAGTTTGAGGTTCAGCCTGAACTGTAGATTGAAACCCTGTCTCAAAAACCAAAACAAAACAATTTAAATTTTCTTTCTGTCTTTTTTGAGACAGGGTCCTGCTATGTAGGTCAGCCTAACCTTGAACTAACTCACTATGTAGCCCAGGCTGGCCTTGAACCGTATCCTCCTACATCAGCCTCCCAAGTGCTAGGATTATAGGCATGTGCCATCACAACTGGGTTTTTAAAATGTTCCAATATTCTAGTATGATATTTCAAATATTCTGTAGGCACTTTGACTAAAGATCCCATTTCCCTTTGATATCTTTTAATGCATACTTTCATTATTTGAATACTAAAGGAATAATGCTGGGGCTTAACCCCATTAGTGATCAGGAATTTGAAATTAAAGAATTATTTTTTCTCCATAAAGATATGAATTCTTAGGTACTGCAAACATGTACTAATAAAAAGTTTTTTAAATAAATTTTTTAATCCATCAGATTGAATTTTAAAAATTCAGTGCTGGTGATGATTAAGCAATGCCAGCCTTGTACATTTATTATAGACAGCTAAATTAGATAGAAATAGTACAGGCAGTCAGACAGGGCTGGGCCCTCATGAGAGTCAGCGCACAAGATGAGAATACTTTACAACTGGGGGTGAGGGTGCATGTATTGAAGGCCAGGCCTCAAGATGAAGACAGAATGACCAGGCCTGCATGCCTCCCTGAGGGATGAGCAATATTCTATAATTGGTATCACCTGGTCCAATAAAGTCTAGATAGAATCAGCCACCCAAGTGTGGCCAGGACATCCTGACACAGCTTTTCCTTGTTCCTCCTTTGTAAACCTGCTTCCCCATTGGATCAGCATCACCTAAGTGGCTACACTTGTTATCTTACTGGTTGATCATACTTTTGTCTCACTTGCTGCCCACTTTGTGATTTTGGTCTATAAATCTTCTTCTGGAAAGTAGGATCCCCAGAATCCACTCAGGTCTGTTTCAGGAGCTGTGTGTCCCAATAAAATTTCCAATCATTAATCTCCACTGTTCCTTAGAAGTCTTTCTTTCATTTTAGAGAACATGAACTTGGCATATCAGATATCTTTCTGAATTTTCAGGAAACCATTATTAAATCTGTTTGTACAGAATTAGGAGGAAGTTCTGCCCAAAACAACTGATGAGATAAATTTCTTTTTCTTAAGTCAGGAGAAGTGGTTGAAGCAATAATCAGATAACAACCAAGAAGATAGGTGATCTGATGGTCACTGGCAGCCAAGGCATTTACCAAAAAGGCTGTAAATTGGCCCTGAATCAAGGCTGGCTGTTTTCTGATGCTGTTGACCTCAACCAGGAACCTAAAGTGGTAACTTTCTACGGTCTGTTGGCCATTTCAGAATTTTAGAAATAAAATGGTCAATTCATTAGAAAGAAACAACCCACCACTACCATGATCCTGCCCCAAGGAGAAGAAGCCATGCCTCTTGGTGAGCCCTACTGTCACAGGCCTAGAGGAGAAGAAACTGTGCCTCCTGATGAGCCAGTCAAAATGCCAGCCTGCAGGAGAGAAAGTCACACCTCCAGGGTTCCCCTGCCATCTAGGAGACATCCATGAGCAACCACCCTGCACCTCTCCATCACCCCAGAAACCTTGGGTGACTGGAACCCAAGTGCCTGACTCAATCTCCTGCACAGTGGTTTGGGTCGCCGATGCAGGAAACCCCCAGAGCTCAGCAACCGGCTGCTTCAGGGTAATGCAGGAAAATGTCAAGACAAAGGAGCAGGGTGCAACCTCACTCCTACAGAACATGCAGAGGAAGACCGGAAGACCTAGACACAAAAGGAATTAGAAGTCACACACCTGAAATATCTGAAATGATAGCAGCTGAAGAGACAAATTAGTGCCTATATTATTTAATTAATTTTCATGCCTATAGAGACATAGACCTAGAGAAGATAGATGTCGCACACTTGAGATTTCTGAGATGATGGAAACGAAATAAAGAAACAACTTAGAGCTTGTGCTGGGTGGTCGACTTTGCATGCCTGTGTCTGGTGGTCTGAGCATCTACTTAGAAGTTAACAAGGTATATTACAGTAACTCTGGGTGATTTCCTACTGTTTTGCTTTTGAAATCGAATATCATTCCCATTGTTTTGTTTTGTTTTATTCTCTTTTTAAAAAAAGACTGTAGGAAAAGGCATTTGGTTCCCTCCATGGGAGTCCCTTTTATGGGTCTCCCCAAACAGTTGGAAGACCATGGAGGATGTCAATTTAAAAATATATGAGCAAGTGGAGTCTTGTGCATTATAATTTGAGATGCATTCACATCATTAACAGGTGGATGGTGTGAGCATGAAAGAAAGCAAAGACAAAGGAAAGAATTTGCCTAAACTCACAAAGCAAGGTGTTTAATGATGGACTGATCATCTAGACCTGCTATTTGTGGTTTTCTTTTCTTTTGTTTTTGGCTAAATTAAAGGCCCATCTTTAAAAAAAAAAAACCCTATCTTTGCAACTTTTCATTGGAAACTTTCAAGTCTTATTGGAGAAGTATATATTGAAGAAACTCAAATACAAATAAAAAGCAAAATAAAGGTAAATAATAGAAAACAGAGATAGATCCTTTGCAAATGGGAAGGGGAGAGGAGGGAAAAAACAAGGGATAAGGTCATAAAAAGAATAAAGGAGTGTCATTCGCATGTATGTAATCATCTCCCCACAATGAATGTAATTATCACATATCATAAACGTATACTAACAACAACAAAAAAAGAGTAGGTTAAGAGAATGTAATTGAGGGGTGGGGTGTGATGGTACAAGTCTGCATTGCCAGCTACTTGGGAGCCCAACACAGCAAGACAAATTTGAGCTCAGCCTAGGCAACAGAATGGAACTCTGGCAAGAAGACAATAAAAGTAGAAAATTTAATTGAAGAAGAGATTGAAGAAGCCATTTTTTATCTAAAGGGAACGTGAAACTTTTGAAATTTGAAAAAATAGTGCCAGGAAAAGTTGGTTTATTGTAGTACCCATTTGAGGTCTCCTGACATAGGTGTGGGAGTTGTAAAGAGGAGATTTATGGCGGAAATAAAACTAGTTTAATATACACCATAAAGTGAGAGGACATATAAATGGATTACCAGGCAAAAGCGGATCAGATGACAAAGCCAAATTAATGAGTAAGTGTAGGAGACAAAGCTGTTCAGAGAAAGAAAATTAAAAAATTAGATATAAGGAAATTTAGATTGTCATTTCACAGACTGTTAAGAAACTTTTAATGAAATTTCCCCATAAATGTCAACTATTAGTTAAAATGAATTGAGTCACCTGACATTTTACTATCCATAAAAAACTCCATGTTTATATATACTTAGAAATATAATTTGGTATTACAATTTTTCTAACAACTTTCTTCACGATATACTATGTTATAAAAAATTACTTGGGGGGGAATATTGGGGATTGAGCTCAGGGCCTCACACGTGCTAGGCAAATGCTGTATCACCGAGTTACATCCCTAGCCCACACTGAAAAACAGTTTTATTTCAGTAACCACAGATGTAGCCATCAGCCGATTAGTATTCTGTTATTCCAAAACAGTCTGCTGGGGATGCAATCCTAGGAGTGGAACTACTGGATCAGAGGATGCAAACACTTACTCCTTGGATCTATTTTACAAATTCCCATATAAGAAAGTTATCCCAGTACATTATTACCAAAAGGGCATGAAAGCATTGTTTTACCTCATCTTTGTAAATACTGAATTGCTGTTTTATTTTATTTTGGTACCAGAAAGCAAACCCAGGATCTTGCACTGCCAGGGAGGTGCTGTATCACTGAGCTATATCCCCAGCTCTGAATTGCTTATTTTTAAACACTTTACCACATCAGAACCAGGGATTTATCTCCGTGGCCTAAGTGTCTGCCTGGCAAGAACAAGGTCAGAAGTTCAAACCCTGATACGAAAAAAACCTTTATCAAATCTGGTAACAAACAAAAGTGCTCTTTGTTATTTGTTTTTCATTTTTTTGTTAGTGGCAATAGTCATATTAAAATACTTATATAGATCTATTATTATATATACTTATGTACACACATATATTTCTTCTTTTTATCACTTTTTCCTTATTGGCTTATAAAATCTTATGTATATTAGAGATATTTCTCTGTCATGTTGTTTCAAGCACTATTCTTAGTTCGACACTCTTCTAAACCTTATTTGTGCTGATTTATCTCTGTTTTTAGACATATTAAGATTTTTTCTTCTTTTATGTAATTAAATTTTATATTTGGCTTTTGTTCCTAACAGTTCTATTAGAATCTGCCTTTAGCTTGTCTTTCCCTTTTGGGATTTCGAAGCACTGGAATACGACATATCTAAAGCCTTTCTAGCACCAAAGGTTTCTTTACCGCACTTACTTGTTGGTTCTGTATGTAGATACCAATCAAAATCTGAGTGATAACTCTGAACTACTGAAGTAACTAACCCTGAAGCCTGTCTCACCTCCGGATTGCCTCATTTTATGAGCCAAGGCACGATTTTATAGTCAAGTTTGATTAATTCAAATTTTGAATCTGACTCATGTACTGGGAATTTAAGGAGTAAGGAGGGATGAGATAGCATCACAGGTACTGGCTCAGCCTTGCCAGAGTAGAGGAAACCTGCGTTAACTGTGGGTACTGCAAGGGATTCTAGATCACACTGGTGGGGGCTGAGCATAGGCATTTAGTTAGCTCTTTCCCTGCCGAGTTCTTCTGACAACAGAGACTAGAAAAAAAATGTCACCAGCTTATGGGGTTATAATTGAACTTTGGCATATGGGAACATGAAAGCGTGTTGGATAGAGATCATGGAATGAGGTAATGGCTCTTGTGTCCAGGGGGAGCTCGTGGTCGGGGAGAGACCTCAGGCCCAGCCATCAGTGTGAAGAAATGAAGCACGGGGGCAAAGAAAAAGGGCGCGACAAGATCTGTCAGTGACCCGCATCCTGGGCATCTGCTTCACTCTGCCCAGCAAGACCTGGAAGCCTTTTCCAGAGAAACTGAACAAGCGACGTTGAAAGAGTTAAGCCAGCCGGTGCTTGTTCCCTGAGTATGAATCTCCTGTTGCTGCGTGTAGAGACTTCTGTCTGGCTACAACACAGGTTTCACTTTCATATCTGTACTTGCACTCACATGTAGGTAAGTCTCCAAAGGTCTTTTACTCATGGCTGAAACCCAGCAGGAAAACAGATCAGCCTATTCTGATTCATTTATGTGGCTGGTTCCTTATAGCCCAGTATGTAGCAACTAAAGAAAGTGTAGGTCTGTGTTTGGCATTGGGCAGTGGTCTCATTGGGGTGGCACTGAGACCCATTCTGAGTGGGGGTAACAAGGAATCAAGTACGTACCCTTAAAACTTTTAAAAATCTATTTGAAGTTTTTTTTTTTATAGCTTCTAGCATCCTCTGTTTTTCCTTCTGCATGACAATAGGAGCTCAGGATTTTTATGTCCATGGGAATGGAGAAGCACCCTGTGAGATCCAATGAATTTTGAGGTTTTATGCTTCCTTCTGACACTTGAATGAAATTGCAGAGTATTTTGTGAAATAAAAGTCTTTCCTCACTCTTATGAAAAACCAGTTAACTTTCTTTGAGTTTATGTGTTACTTAGTTTTCTACTATGGTTATGTCTCTTGCATTTTCTCTTCAACTTTTTTCTTCTAGGAAACATTGGTAGACTAATTGGGCACAAAACCTAGTCTTTGTTTTAAACATTTTAGGAGGCTAGCTTTGGACTCACCTGGAATGTTGTAGAAATGCAAATATTTGGTCCTCAGCTATTGAATCATGTAAGGCAAGTGAGGACCAAGGAAAAAGTGGCTAAGACTTTTAGATGATATCAATGCCCACTCAGATTGAGTCACTGTTGTCACACCTACCAATGACAGTCTCGGTTGGCTTGAAATCTGGAGAGCCCTAACTTTTTTTTTTTTTTTTTTTATTTAAGAGGAAAAAGAGAAAAAACACAATACAAACCAAAGCGGCGTAAGGGTACACGCAATACAGAACTACAAAAACAAAACAAAACAAAACAAAAAAACATAACAGTAAGAAATCACCTGCTAGTAGATTACACACTATCTTCTTGAAAATAGTTCCTCAAATCACAGTATCAAAGAACACAAGGTGGACATTCAAACAGGGAGACTGCAAACAGCTGTGTTCAATGTTCCAAAAACATTGATAAAGTCAGCTATTTAACACCCCCAAACACACTTGCTGTTATATCCGTTAGAGCTCTTTTTCTTTTTTTTTTCCCTCTCTTTTTTACAACAAAATTTACACATCTTGGATTTTATTACTCCTTAGTGCTTATTACTTTCTTTGGGGGGGGGAAGAATACAGTCAAATATGGCAAAACAAAGCTGTCAGTCAATACCAAGGATAAACATAGCA